CAAACTATCATAGATGTATTATATAAGAAACCAAACAAGAAATTGAATAGAAGAATTTCAAGAAGAAAACTATGAAAAACTTGATTAAATCATATAAGTACAAAATCAACACCAAGAGAGGTGAACTAGAACTTTAAGAAATGTATTGTAAAGATTAAAGATTTTCTTAGTCTTAACTTGAATATATATTAGATATTAGAAAGTTTCTTGAAAAGTTTCCATATTACTTAAAGATGAAACAATCTTACCAAGCTTTTCAAATAACTTCCTTAATCCTCCTAAAATATATATATATACATATATATATATATATATATATATATTTAGAATATTCTAAAAATCTTTAAAAATATAATAGAATAATTTTAAAATCTTTTTAAAATCTTTTTGTTAGATATTCATAGTAGAGGATAAAAGTATTATTATTACTATTATTGATATAAAAATTTACTTAAAATAAATTATAATTATATGCTATTTTTAAATTATTACTTAATCTCTCTTCTATTTATTCAATCTAAGTTTAATCTTTGTTCTTTCTATTAAAGTTGAATTGTATACAATTTGATTCAAATTAATAAATGGTATAAAATTCTTTTTTACATGAATTTTAATTAAAACTTGTCATCTTTAACATAAAGAAACTATTTTCAGATAGATACTTACATGTTAATATTTGATAAGAGAAATTAATATCAAATATTGATTTGATGTCATCAAAAAGTCATCTTTAAATTAAAATTAAGTCCTGAGAGAAGTATGAAGATAAATTTCACTCTTCAACTCAAATTACAAGATGTTCTTACTTAAGAGTTGTTTGTAATGAGTGGTGTCAAGTGAAGGAAGCAAATAGCAATAATAAAAGAAGATCAAACACAAAAAAAATGAAATAAAAATTTATACAATTTAAAATTTGATCAAAAAAATTTCATAAAATATTTACTCAGTAAAAAATAAAAAAATAAAAATAAAATAATATGTTTTTAAAATTTTAATTTTCTCATCTTTTCAATGGTGTAAGAAATATATAAATCCGAGTTACTATGAGTAAGTTATGAAGGTTTAAAAATAATAAGTAAATAAATAAAATAATAAAGTAAAAATATTTTACCTCAAGGATAACTTGCTTATAAATCAAGGATTTGAGCCTCACCAAGGCTCACATGTAGTATACTATTAATTAACATTTATAATTATTTATAAGTAATATATATAGATAGAAGGCCAATGTGAATATTGATCTTAATAAATAATCTTTAATACTCAATAATAAATAAAAATACTAAATCAACTAAGATAATTGCCTCCAAGACTTACTAAGACTCCATTTCTACAACTAGCATTTTAATTTTCTATTTGTCTAAGGATTTCTACACTACTCACTATATATTGTGATTTCAAGTACTCTAAATGCATCTTTTTGTCCTAAAACAACTAATGAGTTGATTAGATGACTCACAAGAAGCTTTCTATCTATTAAATTTTGGATATGTTTATGTCTAAATTATAAGAACTTGGACTTTAGATCAATTCAACAAGAAGTTTTATTTTTCTTTGTATTAATAAATGGTACTAACTTGGATAATTTTATTAACCAATTTTTTATTTGATTGATGTAAAATCTAAGATTAATAACCTTTTTTCTATACAAAAAAAGAACAAAATGTAATAATTAAATTTTTTTATTTAAATTATGTAATAGAGAATTGGTAAGATCTTTTTATTTTTTATTTTTAAATTAAGATTTTACAAACACAAATAAACTTAAATTATTATTTGCATTATGAAAATGATATTTGATAGAATTATATTAGAATTCAATAGTACAAAAAGAATTTTCATTTATATAATTGATTTAGAAGTAAGAAATAGCTTTTATTTAAAATTACTTCTCTAATTTTTGACAAAATTTAAACAATTATATGTCATTCTATAGTGTTAACAATCTAGCTATTTTATAGATTTTGGAAATTCTTTGAGGTAAATGAAATGTGGAATTAAGCCACCACAATTCAAAAAATAAATTAATTTTTTTATTTAATGATAAAAACCTCAATTAACGTAATAATTGAATCATACCATTTTTTGTCAAAAAAATTAAATGCTCTGTGTTTTACTTATTTATTCATAATTTAGGTTTGAATGAAATATTTTGAAAAAAGGATTATCTTCTTAATATTGTAGGAAGAAAAATATGAATTTTAAAGCAAACAAATGGTTATACAAGAAAATTGTTAATATCACATGGCTAGTTGTGATAAAGTATAATCTAATGATGTAAAATAATATTTTGATACAAGTAAAACATAACTTCTTTAAAAAAAAATCAAATATACATACACATATATACATACATGCATGGATAGCCAATAGTATTTAAGGATTGTGCAAAGATAAAAAAAAATAAAATAAAAAATAGTAGAAAAAAATACTTAAATACTAAGCTCATTAAAAATCCACTTTCATAAGAATATTACACATAATATTATATATACTATGATATTGAGCATTAAAATTCTGATTAGGAGATATTTTTGATAATTTTTTTATCATTTAGAAGTTATGATTTTTATTATTTAAAAACACATAACTATATAAAAACTAAGAAATATTGTAAAAAGTGTATAAATAATTAAATATTTTTTAGTTTTTTAATTAATATATTTTATGGTTTATATTTTATTATTTAAAAAATAAAAGTTAGAAAAATCCATCATTAAAAAATACATCTGATATTAGTATAGACCTAAATATCCAATAAAAAATCTTTTAAAAATAAACATTTTAAAATTGGTTATTCCACTAAATATCCTATAATAATATATTTTATATACACGTTTTTCAAGAGACAAACCTACCATTCCAAGTACAAAATATGATTTAATAATAATGATAATACAATAGAATTATATTAATAAAAACATTCTTCAAATTAAACACAATCATAAAAACTCTACAGGATTAGTTTTACTCAAGTTGTAATTATAGGTATTTCATATTACATTAATTAATGTTCCAAAAAATTAAAACCAAAATACTCATATAAATTCTTCCAACATCATGCATTCATGTGTAAAATACTTTGGCATTAGGTTCTGAGCATTATGGGCTTTGTTATGGCGATTGTTACTGCTCTGTCCAAATTGAATTAATGGTTCTGATAAGCACTGTATTAAGGTTAAGATTAATAATTTTATTATTTGTAGCCTAATCTATTTTTTAAATTCAATTATCTTGCTAACCACATTGTGAGTGTACTGTTCAATTGCCTCGTTACCAATGATTCAATCATGCTTTTTTGTTATCCCTCCTAGTACAAATTTCATTACTCAAATTATGTTTTGTGCATAAACAGTATATCATATTACAACAAGAAATGCAAATAAAGTGTGTGTACAAATATATTTTGGTTATTTAATATCCCTTAACTAATATTTTTTGCTTGTGCACTTATATTTTTTGTATATAAAATTTTCATCCTTAAAGGTTATAAATTAAGTTGGATAAATTTGTGAATATGTTTATTATGTGATAATTTTCTTTATTAGAATTGATTGTCACAATATATTTTAAAGCATAAATAAATTTACTGACACTGGTTCCTTTTATCTGTTTTGATTTTATAATTTAAAAAAGGATTGAAATTAGAAACTAAATAGTACATAATTTGATGTTTGAAATGATAATAATAATAATAATAATAATTTAATAATTATAAAAGCAATAAATTTACACGTTAAGTAATATAATCATTTTGAATTTACAAAATTACTGTGTTAAAGTAAAAATATCCCTAATAAAAAATATTTCTCATATCTCAAATATTTAAAATTGACATTGTTAAGGGTTTCGAAGAGCCAAGAAAAGATCTGTGTACAAGAGTTGATGTCCTTAAAGAATACATGTATATATATATATATGTTAACAATTGAAAATTTTAATAATCTTATTATCCATAAAATCAACACATATTTGTTTAAAAGTAAAACTTGTAACAGGGGGGGTTTATGTGTTAATAATTAGAAGAAATATATAAATATAAATACAGATATTAAATCACTTGAACACTGAATCATTAGTTTCTAATAGTGCTACAAGCAAACACTAAACAGATTGATATACTAGATAGAATGACATACAAAACAGAAATGTGTACTAGACAGTTATACACTAAACAGATTAACATGCGAAACTGAAATTTGTACTAGAAAAAATTTATACTAAACAGAATCATACACCAAATAGAACTGTGCACCAGACAGAGTTACACAGTAAACACATTAATGTACCAGACAAAACAATATACAAAACTGAAATGTATACTAGACTGATGAATCAGAAATGTGTACCAGACAGACTTATATACTACGCAGATTAATATATTAGACAGAATGATATACTAAACAGAAATGTGCACAAGACAGAATTGTCCAGTACACACGATTGAGTTCTACGGCTCCTCGTGGATCGCGAGGTGCAGCCTCTCGTAGGCCGGGATAGCAGTGAACCCCACAGCCCAACCACACTCACTGTCGAGCGCCATGCTTTTTGTCCCCCCTGCAACAGTTTCCTGCTTCGGTCGCCAACTTGTTGTACCCATCCACTCACTCGCCTGCTTTCCATCACTCCGAAAGCTTGGAAGGTTTGTGAGAAGTTTACAGATGGCTACTGTGGCGTTTCGTAATTTTGAAGCATGGTCAAAACTGGTGATGGATCGCAAAGCTGCAGCTATGTTAGCGTTTTTGTGATTTGGATTGCTTCCCGTGATGATTCGTAATCGTGTGCTAGAAGTGGTATCTGACTTGCTGTCAGAAATGTAATACTGAAGGATGGGTTTTGGCAATTTTAGTCTATTCAAAAAAATCTGGAGTTTGGTTGTGGATGAGACACAATTTTCAATGCGTGAGTGAAGTCCTTTTGTGTGTGAAGGTGATCAGCCATGAGGAAAAAAACCTTTAAATTGGCACATGTGTGAATCAGAGAACTACGGTGGAAGCATGAAATAGGAAAAAGAGTTATTGCTTCAAAGAAAATCTATCAATACAAGGGTCGACGTCCAATTCCTCACACGAGGGCATTGGGGTCCAAGTCATCTACAGAACCAAACAGAGGCATCTCGATAAGCTGTAGCAAGGATTGTTTACCCACATTTGCTGTTCCATCCATCACGAAAAAGAAAAAGACAGAATCCCTGAAGTGTCTGTTCTGATAATCGAAAACCAATCTATTTTTAAACCCTAATCTCTGCACTCTGGAAAAGAGCAGGATTATATGCCCCTACACGCAACACTCTGGTAAACAAATACACTCGTCCAGTCGGCAACCAAGATTAGCGTCCGTGAGTTTGGTCACTCGGGTTCCCGGCACGTAAATTAACACATCGTTATTGAGCAGGAAAGCCGAAGAGAAACACAAAGGTGATTGTTTCACACTGCAAGTCACCAGAACTAGCTCACGGAGATGGAGGAACTCGTGCTTAGACGTGGCTAGGGGCACTTCTGAAGGAGCCAAGAGACTTGAAAGGTGCTGCTCTCAAGATGTATTGGTGGTAACTAGCCGCCAAAGCTGCTCCCAGAAATGGACCGACCCAGAAGATCCACTGCACAACGTTTAAGAAGTTTCAAAGCCAGTTAAACGACCAATCTCTCCCTCTCTGTCCAAAAATTAAACCACAACTTCGAGTTCATAGCTGAAGGAGATGATGACTGATCACAGAGGCTTGTGTGTAGAACATCAACTAAAAGCTGTGAATGAGGATACGTGAACCACTTACGTGATCATCCCAAGGCTTGCTGCGATTGTAGATGACAGCTGCGCCGAAGCTTCTTGCGGGATTGATACCAGTTCCTGTGATGGGGATAGTTGCCAAATGAACCATGAAGACTGCAAATCCTATGGGAAGAGGAGCTAACACCTGCACATAGAGCCCCACACAAATGTCAAGCACTTGCAGCAAGGACACAAAGAAACAGGCTTCTTCATTTGTTCGATGTGCATAATCTTTCCACGAGTTGGTCAATTTGAAACCAAAAGCGCCTCAACAGCATCAATTCAGTGTTGCTCAATTTAGATCGTTTGTAAGTGCGGTGCATTAAATCCTTACCGGCACATGACTGTCACGGGCATTGCGCTTGGGGTCGGTGGCAGAGAACACGGTGTATACCAGAACGAAAGTGCCGATGATCTCAGCGGCCAGACCAGTGCCTGTACTGTACCCCAGAGCCACAGAGTTTGCTCCTCCTCCATATCTCATGTAGAAAGCAGTCTGGAACCCCTTCGCAAGGCCTGCACCGCAGATTGCTCCCAGGCACTGAGCTATCATGTATGTAAGAGCACGAGGTAGCGAAATTTTTCGTGCCATGAGCAAACCGAACGTGACTGCTGGGTTGATATGCCCTCCTGCCACAGTTCAAAAGTAGTAGTGATAACAAAATTGTTATGACAGCAAGAGTAAGTAATATTTCGAATGAAGCCTACTTCACTCTAGAGTTACTTGTGAACGTTGATAAAAACTGCATAGCAAATGATACAATTGCCAAAAATTCTCGATCAGTTTCGGGCACTTCTGTAGTCCAATCTACACTGGAAAAGTCACTGCTGCGGCTCAAAACGGGGTCCCCTGCTGATTCAAGTCATTCCAGATTAGACCAAGTTACAGCTTGAGATTGATCAATTCGTGTACCTGAGACACCAGCGGTGCAGTACACCAACACGAAAATCATGCCTCCAAACGCCCAGGCGATGCCCAATAGTCCGACTCCCGCACAGCCTGCATTTCGGCTGGCACCGATCACGGTTGAAATGGTGATGTACAGGAACAGCAAAGTGGCGACGAACTCGGCGATGATGGCTCTGTAGAAGGACCATCGGCCGAACTCGGCGGCGTCAATGAGAGGCGCCGGAGGTGGATCAGAGTAGTCCTTGGAAGGGACCCCTGACTCTGTGCCCGCGTCTTTTGCCATGGTTTGCTCCTGAATCAAAACACTCGACTAGTTCCTCCACGCTCCCTGTATTTTGGAAGCCACTTGGCTGGCTCGCACCTGTACTCACGTCTTATACTATGAAAAAGAAGCTCGATTGGCCTTATCTCCAGCGCAAGGTAATGCTTCCTGAGCACAACTGCACGCGCACCTTCATGCTCAGAGGTGAAATACAGGTAACCAGCTCCCCTTCTGGCAATCTGATACCAAAAAGCTGTGGATCGTGCGGACGTCAATGTGCACTCTGACAAAACATGGCTGCCAGAAAGGCACTACGTTCAGGTTATGAGCACAAACATATATATAGGACAACCGTCGCCTCTCTCTCCTCTTGCAGAGGCATCTTCCTCTCGCTTTACTTTACTCTTCTTCTGTTTCAACTAGATTAAATCTAGCACTTGTTCGGACGGTAATATATATATATATACATGGTGAATTTCACAGTGGATTTTGCAATGCTCCCGGGAGGCAATTCATCGACAGCGAACCGGAGGTACTTCCATTGAGTTTGTAGGTGGCATACAAAGGGAGTGTGCCGTTCAGTAGATAGCTGAGCTAGGCATGAGGGCCGTGAATGGAAAGTGATAGATAGCGATGCCTGCATGATATATATGACGACGCTTCTTTCCTCAATTTGGTAGACAAAACACCAATTCTCTGTTGCGCTAGTATATTGACGGGGTATTCACCTCTATTTGTGTGGGAATCCATCTCGTAGTACCGTACAGCCTTTGGTAGAGTATCTTTTTTCTTTTTACGAACAATGCATTGTTGTTTAGCAATTTTCGGATATTTCGTAATACCTTATGTTGATACAAACAGTGCAGCAGGGACGTATACATGGGCTACGAATTAATTTCTCCTCTTTGCAGCATCTAGAGGCTATGTTTCCCAAGATTTCAACACATTTAAGACTGAGCACATCAACCATTGAGGTTGGGAATCCTGTTCAGCTACCCTAGTAAAAGACAGTCCAACATCCACTGAAGTACATGTAAATGGATTGACAAGGAGAGCATGCAGAGAGTGTGTATTCGCCGCGCTCCAGTTTTCGATAGAGGGACAGAGAGCGTGCATGTAATTTCTACTGAGTTGGCCACAATTCAAATTTCCAAGTACCACCATTAATGGAGAAAATGTGAAAGGCTGTGAACAGCTGAACCGTGGAGCAACTAGATGATTGATGTGGCTCCTCAGCAACTTTTTGCTTTGAAAATTAGGTGGGCCTCAAGAGGTAATCGCATTGCATAGATGGTCAAGAACCAACCTCAATTTGAGAGAAGTGCTCTTAACCATGGTTGAATCCGAGGACACTACAATTTCTTGGGTGATTTAATGATCTCCATCGTTTTTCTCTTTTACCAACTTCAAAACATTCCCTAGATCACCAAGTGAATTAAATAAACGAAATCCACGGAGGTTAACGTCAAAGCATTGTTTTGTAGTCTAAATGACAGCTTGTGAGCTTTGATCTTTTTCCCACAAAATTCTATGTTATGAAGCCCGACTAGTACTGCTAATCTGTGACCACATATAATGAGTTTATACCTTTAATACAATTTTTAGGTTTCAGGATGCTATCACCAGGTTCACTGTTCCTGGGCCAATCGATGCGAGACCTTTGCTTCTCTAAAGTTCTTTAAGCTTATCAACGTTGAACATGCTGCATGATCATGTTTTTGGATGTTGAGCTATGTCGCTTAACTGTATGGCATGTTTTCTATACGAAGCCACTTGGGGTGGGCAGGAATCTTCCGATCAAACCTCCAACATCCGGGTCAAGTAATAACTTAAGAGGATGGTAAAACTACTGTAACTGCAGTGGTCGATCTCACCGCTACAGCTCAAATCTCTTTCTGTGCTATGCAACGAAGCGGTTCATTTTGTTTGCACCCAGCAACATATTTTTCTCCTCTTTGAATGCGTGGCTGGAGGACTACCTGATACCGTTCCAAACCAACAAGCGTGGGATGTGATCGGAAGCTGCTTCTAAGACTTCAAGTACCAGACAAGGCACCTCAGAAGCCTATGCAATCGTTCTTTCTGGTGCACACTGTGCATGGAAGATTTTATGACCAGAGCCCTGTACATCGGCAACTGATAAGTACCCAGAGAGTAGAACTGCTTGCGAATTAATTTAATTTTTGAAAAAGAAAAAGAAACCAAAAGAAAATAGAACCGTAATATCGAACCCAGTCAGTGCCAACCCGTTGTGCTCTCAGCGCAGCAACATCCAGTCTCGGAGGCAGAGCTCTGCAGGAAAAATGAAAAAAAAAAAAAAAAAAAAAAAAAAAAAAGGAGATCCTGCGAACCTTGTCCACCAGTTTTGGAATTCATCGTTGATCCATCCCTTAGCGGAGCAACTTTCCGCCCAGCGTGGCAGAAGTTGGATAGATTCTCGTCACGCCGAAAGTACGACGGAGTGCAGCAGCAGCAGCATGGACCAGGGACCTACCATCCGCCGAGGGAGCCCAAGAGCCAAAAGGACGTGGGTTGCATGGGTGGGGCCTTGCGCTAAAACCTAACGGCTAGTGACGGACAGCGTTGGTAGAACTCCACCAGCCTTTGCAGGCAGGCCTCCGACAGGACGGCTACAGGGAGTCGGTCTGAGACACGAGCCTCTATGCCTAGCCACCCAGCCAGCCAGCTAGCTCATCCGCCCTGTGCTGCCGCCTCCTGTTGCCCACCTTACACAGTGTGTTGCTCAGCTCGGGTCATCCCTTGGAGTAGAAATCACGGAACTCGATCCCTTCTGGTCGCACCGCATCTGTACATTGTGATGGCACAGATCGGGGGAGGTGTTGGTTGTTTGTCTGTTTGTTGGTTTGTATGTATTTGTATCCTCATGACATCGCCATCGTCGCCACTGCTTGCTGCTCCGATGAGCTTCCATTCTAGATCTGCAGCGGCTCTTCTCTCTCGTCGTTGCTCCTGCTTCTCCTCGCTACCATCCCCAACCTCGACGACGACGAAGACGACAACCTCGGCCAACATGACGGCGACGGCAATCGGGAAAATGGCGGCGATGCGGTGACGGCGAAAGCGACGACCGCGCCGCGACGATGACGATTATTCTAACGACGGCGACGGCATTGAGCCACAGTTTCTCGACGGTTGAAGCGCTTGGTGATAGCGGAATATTGTATGGAATATTCCTTTTGGCCCAGCGTGAGTATTGTGTTCTGGATATCACTTGCAGAATTGTTAAATAGAGGAAAGCATGTAACTTTTGGTGATATGCAAGAGTTGATGTAGTGTGGCAATTAATTTGGGTTGATTCTGATCCAATTTTAGCTTGTATGAGAAAGTGTTTATGTAATTCCTGATGTTTTTCAAATGTGGCCAATATCCCTTTGGTTGTGTCTTGGAAAATACATGCAAAAAGGATTTATCATTCAGATTTTTTTTAACACTAAAATTGATGGAAGTAAGTGAAATGACATTTTTTTTCAGCATGCATCTGAAATTTTTAAAGGTAGATTTTTAAATTTGACGAATATTTTTTCTTGGTCTTAGATTATCTTTATTTCTCTTTACACTAAATATGGTTGCTTAAATTATAAACTTGAAATTTTTGTTAATTTTAGAATTGTGTAACAGTGCAATAATTGGAACAAGTTAAGGGCGCACTCAATCAAGTCTGAAATAATCTAAAGTACAAGCTAATGTAAAAAGTTTAACATTTCTGTAATTTGTATACACAATTAGATCCAAAAGGCCTTTAAAAAATGGTGGTATTTTGCAATAATTCAAAAACAACAATCCATTTTGTTACACATGTTACAAGTTTATTTATTTACTTTTAAAGGGAAAAAATCCAAATTCAATGTATGATTTAGTTTTGTATTGATGAATATTTCTCAATAAATAAATAAAATAAATAAATTATGGATAAAAATAACTCTTAAAAATCAAGATGTGTTAAAACATGAGAGTTAAAGCATTTTGAAAAATACTGAAGCCTTTTATCTGCATCCAGTGTCCTCTGAAATTCTACTTGCATGTATGTTAATTAAGATATATATCTTATAACAAAAATTTGATATTTCTTGATGTAAATTGTTTACACTAAAAATACACTGAATGCTACAGATTGGTTTTGGAATTGACTATACCATAAAAACTCAAAATGTATTTGGTTATTGTAATACAAATGTATTGAAGATAGATTTTTTGTAAAGTGTTATACTTGATATGATAAAAACATGTTTTATTAAACATACAACACAGAATTTTGTAATTTAAAAAAAACTAAATACAAATATTTCATAATTTTCAAGGACTGTGCCGAAAATGAAACCATCATCAATATAAAAATAAATCATAGTATAATATTTTGCTAAGTTTTAAGACATTTCAATGTATACAAAAAATATATATATCAAAAAAACCTATTATACTTTTGGTTTGTTTCTTGTTTATTTGTATTAAGACATAGTCTTTCTAAAATTTCATTTTAAAAAATGTTATCTTTTTTGAAATGAGATTTTTTTATTAAAAATATTGAATGAGTGTATATATATATATATATATATATATATATGTTCTAGAAGAAATAAACATAATCAAATTTTAAAACTGCAATAACCAGATACACCAAATGTTATATAAAAATATTGCATGAAGCATAAAATAACCAATTAGATATCAAAAAGTCTTGTGACACACAAAAGTTTCAAAAGAGTGTTATTAAAAAATAGCCATATTCAAAAACAAAACAAAAGGTTAACTTGACTCACTCTTGCCAACTTACTTCACACAAAATTGTTACTTTTTTTTGGTCGTTTCCTCCTCCTATTGTTTCATACTTGGGTCTTTTCCTCTCACATCCACCTGACATGCTTTCAATCACTTGTTGTTTTTCCAACATTCCTGCTACACATAACTTACTTTTGCCATGTTTTGCATGCTTCAATCAGACGGCACTCCAGCCTACAACAATTACACATGGGTTAGCAAAGCTTGGTGGGTGTAGTCTAGTCTTGTCTAGTTTAGTCTAGCTCGCATGATTGAGCGCAAGGGCTATTTTTCCTTGACATTGTGGACTTCTAGAGCTGCAACGAGGTTTGCAAGTTGCAAGTTGATACTTCTGTCGGCATTCGCTGATCGTTGTTTGATGAGTTGGGGAGAGAAGTAGAGAACCGGTCTGATTATCGATTGTGAGCATAAATGCCCAGTTGTAGTTGTGAGCAGAAGCTTTTCACTCACTCGGAGAACCACGTGATCTCGATCTCGGAGTCACGGTGCATCGATGCGTGCAACCAACACACTCACATGGCCAACAGAATTTGCAGGTACATAACCACCAGAATCCATTCTGGCTATTAACTCTCAGACACCGCATTGCATGAGCGGAAGTGAAGAAGCGGTATCTGCATCACAGCGACTACCCAGTCAGATTAATCGACAAGTTCGCTTCTGTGAGGTAAATAGTATTCACTGTCTGTTTGGGACTTAAAGTTCCACCTCTGGTCTAGCTCATCCATGATGCATGGCACCGCAATCTAGCACCGCAGAACTCCATGCATCCACAACCCGCACTGACATCGAGTCGATGATAAGGTAGTTCATCTCAGCTCTCTGCAATGATGTGCAGATTGCCAGATTCAACCAGAAAGATTGATCCAACCCTTTCAATCTGCTGCTATCTACATGAAACTGAACAACGACAATTCATCGTTTATGTGCCTAGGGAGCCTCAAGAAACAGCTGCAGTGTTGCAGAAAACATCCAGTTGATAGCCAATGATTCTTGAAGCTCATCAATAAAGGTTTCAGTTAAGCTTCTGTCCAAGTGTTGTAACATTCTCTTCTTCTTCTTCTTCTTCTTCTTCTTCTTCTTTGTTTTCGTCTTCAGCTTAGTACCCAAGTGGGAAAATTAGTGTGCAGATTGCAATGAGTTCTTAAGTCACAAGAACTGCTGATTTGTTTGTTAATAAGTGAGATGGAAATGGGATCGTTTTGTTTAATTCAGAAGTAAGTGGGTTTTGATTGATGATTTGAGTTTTGATGCGTAATTGATCCTTGGTGAATGAACAGGGTTATTCATGGAAGGAATGTGGATTGAACAGTAATGGATATGAATGGAGATATATTGTTAGTTTAAGGTTGTAGCACCTAATTGCACCAAGGATTACTCGTATACATGCAATCACTGAACCCAAAGAGGATTATTAACACTAATTTTCTTCTTAGTATAACCTCCTTTAAAAAAATTAATCTTGAGTCGTACCAGGGAAAAAACAAATCAAAAAAAAAAAAAAAAAAAAAAAAAAAAACAGCACATGTATTGGTTGGATGTAAAAATGGTTGGGTTTGCAACCAATGATGATGAGTGGGTTGATTTGGTAAATGCATGGGTTGATTTAGCAATTCCCTGTATGTATGTATGTATGTATGTGTGTGCATATATATATATATATATATATATATATACATATTGCAAAAATAATAAAAACAGATGTATCATGAACATATGAAAATTATAATTTACAAGTTTATATTTAAAAGATTTTAACCCTGTAAATAATTTTATTTTTCTTTTCCTTTTTATGTATAAATTTAAATTGATTAAGAGACTTAAATCACATACCAATATACCAACATATGATTTTCTCGTTTTTTCTAACACAGATTTTGTTCTGTAATGACAAGAATTAGATGCTTACTTTAAATATTAAATATATCTTTTTAAGTTTCCATGCAATTCAAATCTAAGAACTTACGCAATTTTTCATCATTTTGATGTTTTCACTGATGTGTGCAATCTTTGTAAAATTGATTTAAATTGAGAATTATTTTCAAATAAAGGATTAAGCAATTAAAACACAAAATCATCCCAATAAATTCAAATCTTCTAAAAGAAGTAATTATTTTAAAAAAATAATCTAGTAGTGTAATTAGAGAACTCATGTAATTGTAAAAGATTAATCAAGAGATTCTATTCCCTTCAATGTCAGGAACCTCTCCGCGGTGGAAGGGTCAAGATTCCACGGGATTAGGCACGGCCACCCGACGCCGCGCCATCGTGGACACAGACGTCGAATGCAGGACGGATTTAGGGTCACGCGGCTTCAGGGATGGGAAGTCAGTGGCACGGCTAAAGGGTGCGGAGGGTTTAGGGTTGGAAGTGCATTAGGGTTTAAGCTTTCCTCGCACAGAGGTGAGGTTCTAGAGACCGGAAGAGGGTTTCCCTTTGAAGGTAGACCTTACCTTGTTGCGACATCCAGGGTCGCGAATTCCGTCATCAGATTGCGCTGTGGATTGGTTGAAGTGCCGCATGTCGTGCATTTGCATTTGAATTGTTTAGAAGTGGATGTTAGTTGACAGATTTGTGGACTTTAGTCGCATTCCTGATGGCGGAGGTGGCTGAAGTTCCGCAGAGCACGAGCAAAACGAAGGGGAAGAAGAACAATGCTGCTGAAAATTTGGACTCGATTCAAGCGGAAGTCGCTTCCTTCGCAGCTCAACTAGGGCTTACGAGTGGAGGTGGTGTTTTTGGAGCGGGATTTGATGATTCGGATTTTCGAAAGACGGGGCGACTTGGAGAGAAGAAGAAGAAGAAGAAAGGAGGAGGGGAGGGAGACGGGAATGCAGAAGGGAAGAAGGTTGGGAAGTCGCCTGGTGGTCAGGGGAAGAAAGGGGCGGAGAGTAAGAAGGCTGGTGAATTGCAGGATTCGGGTTTCAAAGGGAAGGGGGGGAAGAGAAAGGGAAATCGCAGTGGTCAAGACGTAGGGTTGATCTTTGGTTCAGGTAAGAAAGCAGCTGCAGATGTCGAGAAAGGTAAAGGGAAGAAGCGATCCTGGCCTAGTGAGGCCGGCGAACAGGGAAATGAGAGATGCGCCAAGAAGGAACGGTTTGTGGAAGGAGATTCCAAGAGCAATGATACTAAGAAGGTCGTGTCCTTGGATAAATCATTGGTTAAGTCGTTGCAGAGTGCTTCTTTATGGTATGAAGGTGTCACAGCTGCTGTGGCCAATCCTAAAGCGAAAGCCGCTACGGATGTTTCTGCTGGCGAAATACCAACAGAGGGAGAAGAATTCTTTGAGAGCAAACGAAAAGAGGCCGAGGAACTAATGGAGAAGGCCGTCTCAGATTACGAAAAATCTCGATCCAAAGACAGTGATACGAGGTGGTTGATGACTGCACGAAGGTCTGGAACGTCGTCAGATAAAGTTGCAGCGATGACAGTGATGCTGCAGGACAATCCAATGCTCAACCTTCGAACCTTGGATGCGCTTATTGGTAATTTTGGGCTTTCTGTTGCCAACCGGATGCCCTTTATTTTCCGAAGGCATTGATTTTTCACTTTGCCAATCATGAATACGAATTATGGTCTAACATCGAATAACCGGATCATCGACCGGGAGGGTTCGTTGCAAGAAAAGTTGTAAAATTGACTTTCATTATCGTTAATTATGGTGATGATGGTTGAGAATGCTTTTTCCTCAGGAATGGTGACCTCGAAAGGAGGGAAGAGGCATGCGGCAATAGGTATTGACGCCTTAAAAGAATTATTTTTGAGCAGGTAGAACAATTTTATACTTTACATTTACTGTGGCTTGGGTATTCTAGCTTTTTGAAATGGACGAAGCATCATCCTTACAGGATTTAGCATTATGAAAGTGTTGTGTGATAATTCAAACTTGGATAGTTTGGCTTCTTCGATATTTGTAAATTCATGATGTGCATTTTCCCCATCTTAATATGTCTGCGTAATTTGTGAATGATCATTTTTCTTAGAAGGATGAGGTCGTTCTAAGATTCTTATTGACGTCTCCTGTTAAATTGGTGTAATACCTCATCGCTAACAGATGTTTCAAATTGGAAAAATATGTTTCAAACAGTTTATTGCCAGATCGAAAGCTGAAGTACCTCAATCAACAGCCATTATCAAGCCTTGCGAGTTCAAAGGAAGGTTCGACATTGCTTCTTTATTGGTACTTCGAAGACTGCGTGAAACGGAGGTGTGTTATTTGTTTATATTCTCCTTGCACGACGCATAACATTCTTAATGGTATTTATGGATTACCAAGGCACTACAATAATGGAAGTAATACGTGGTGTGTAAATTCCTGATACTCTTAGATTTTGCTACAGGTATGAGCGATTTGTCGGTGCTCTTGAGGAGGCTACTAAGGACACCCTATCATTTTTGAAAGAGAAGGCCCTCAAGGTCAGTGCATGTGAGGGAATTTAATAAACGGATGGTCTATATTTGTTATTTATCACACTATGATGGCAATCAGTGCTGTGGTTTTTGTCATGAAAGGCTGTTTCTGATACTTTTTGGATTGGAGAACTTGAAATTTCCTGTGATTATTTCGCTGAACGATTATTTGGGTGTGTCCTAACTGAGTATTCGCCGACACAGTTGTACATATTTTCCTTCTAATGATTGCGTTACCCTGTGAGCAGACCGTCTTTGAACTTCTCAAGGCAAAACCAGAGCAGGAACGTCGACTTTTATCAGCCCTCGTTAATAAGGTATTGTAATTGGCTAATATAACAACACATGGTTTAATTGTAGAGAGTGGAATCAATCGGTGTGGGAGAACAGAAATTTTTCTACGTAAATACGAATCTCTTCTTAAAATAGCTGCACAAGATGGTATTATTATTATTATTATTATTATTATTATTATATGCATGGCTGACCATCTACACATGGGCTCCTTGCAGTTGGGTGATCCAGAGAGGAAAGTGGCCTCTAACGCCAGTTATCTGCTCTCCTGTCTCCTCACAACTCATCCTGTCATGAAGGTATCACTTGTGAAGACTTAAAGTTAGACTCCCAATTACTTAACAGAGTGTATTTTATCAGGAAGCTTTGAGTGGTTTGTAATATTCATGGGTATTGTCTATTATTTGTAGCATAGTCTTGTACATGCAGACTTCGAAAACGTGTATCTCAAGTAGTGAAGAGAACTGGGTTTGTACTAATTGTTACATTTGCTGACCTGATTTGGTTCAACCTATTGCCTGTGTGGGAAAACAGGCAGTTGTTGTGGAGGAAGTTGATTCCTTCTTGTTCAGGCCACATGTTGGAAATCGTGCCCGATATTATGCGGTAAAAGTCCCTTCCTCCTAGACATGAATGAACTATTATCGTTTTTTAAAATATGAACAAATGGCCTTCTCGGCAGGTTTTTTTCGATATTAAAACCTGATTAGTGGATGTGTGTGGTTGGGTGGTTCTATTGTTTCTCACGTATCTGTATACTGTTTATGTAAGTCCCAAAATTATGTTCTCATAAATAATTTAGCATAACTAATGTTAACAGGAGCATTTTAAAGATTGCAGCTGTAATGTTACGGTAGCGAATAGGAGTATTTGTAACCTCAGTTGGCAACGGTCATGCTATTGACAAGTGAAAATCTCGGAAAAGTGGCTTTAATGTCGTGACTTTATCGATATTGTGTAACTCATCTGTTTGATTCAGGTGCGTGCATTTTTATTATGATTTTTTTTTTTTTTTTTTTTTTTTTTTTTTTTTGATGTTTGCAGGCTGTCTTTTTGAATCAAATTATGCTTGCCAAAAGAGGCGATGGACCCATGGTTGCCAAGAAGCTGATCAACTTGTATTTTGCACTTTTTAGAGTGAGTTTTTGAACTTAAACTCTTTTTGTTCGCTGTTCTGCCCTATATTCCAAGTTTTTTCTTCTGCTGCGGCGTGCTTGTATCGCTTGTATCTAATGTGTTCATTCATTAATATAGAAAAGGTAGCGGGTCAATTGCCAGGTAATTTGCTGATGGCTGTTTATGACTGCAGACAGTGACAGTAGGTGACGCCAAGGAAGATTTTAATCAGAAAGGGAAAAAGAAGTTCTCTAATTATAAGAAAAGAAAAAATAAAGGCGAAGGGGTGAATGGAAAGCCTGATGTTGCACCTGTAGCTGCAGAAATTGATGCTAGGCTGTTGTCTGCATTATTGACAGTAAGTTGGTGTATCCTATTTTGTGTTTCACGCTGTGCACCGGAATAAGTGGATGGAAATATTTAGTCACACTTGTGCATTCCATTCTACAACAATAATTTAATTTTGATCGTGTTACTTGTGATCCTTTTGATGCAACTGCCTGAAATAGAAACTGGGGATTGTGAAGGGTGTTAACAGAGCTTTCCCATATGTGGCTACAGACGATGTAAATTCTATTATTGAAGAACATACCCCTGTTCTGTTCCGCTTGGTAAGGACCTTATTTTTTTGTTTATTTTATTTGTGTATTTTGAGTCTGTTTATTTTTGTTTATTTTATTTGTATTGACATCTATATACGTTGAATTCGATTGTTGAAAAACTTTCTTTATCAGCAGTTCATTATGGTTTTGATCTGACTAGTAGAAGCTAATTGCAGGTACACTCAGATAATTTTAATGTTGCTGTGCAAGCTCTCATGCTTTTGCATCAGTTACTCCAAAAGAACCAGGCTGTTAGTGAACGGTTCTATCGAGCTCTCTACTCAGTTCTGCTCTCACCAAGTCTTACCACGTCAAACAAGGTATTCATTTCACATTCAAACATTGACTTTAATATGTACAATGTCCTTGTGCATTTCTTAGAAATAGTAGTCCTCGATTTGTAACAGCTTTGAAAATTCGTCAGAAAGTTGATCGTCTATCGTTGCATCCTGTCCGTAAATTTATCTGATTCATCACTTGTTTTCTGCTATTATTTACCGAACACAGATACCTTGATAACATTTGTATAAGGATTTGTTAACAAAACAGGAAGCGGTATTTGCAGGCAGAAATGTTCCTAAATCTTCTCTTTAAGGCACTGAAGCAAGATATCAATCTGAGGCGCATGTCTGCATTTGCCAAGCGGCTTACCCAGGTTTTTATCTTCTTATTTTTATTTCTTTTCGTACTTAATAAAGCTTTCCGCTCAGTTTTTTTATCTTTGGGATTAATGTTCATCTGCTTGATTATTCTTCACCATCATGGGCTAGTTAACCCGGGTTGAAGCTTTGTAGCTCATCACAAATCATGATAATTTTCTTGAATATCAGGTAGCGCTGCAACAGCCCCCTAATTTTGCTTGTGGGTGCCTTTTGGTTCTTTCTGAAGTCCTGAAGGCAAGGCCGAGTCTCTGGTGAGTCTTTTTGACATAAAGATTTATATTGGAACTCTCAACTTCGAACTCTCGTATTGCCCTGAATGGATCATTGATGATATCTCCATTCATATATTGCCGTGATATGTTTGATTTAAATGTGTACTACATCATTGGAAATCATTTATTTTCGTTCTAGGTTCAGACTTCGGATAATATTGGAAAATGATTTTTTTGAGTTAATAAAAAACATAAAAACTCATCTTTTCTTTTTCTTTTTCTTTTTCTTTTAAAAAAATTACTCCCTATACAAGTACATTAGTGGCAACAAAGCCAGTTATCACTCTCATAAGTTAATGGTTGATGCTCCATTTTCGATTAACCTTGTTTCCGTTCCGTGTGTGCAAGGGATGGGATTCTACAACCGGAAAGCCAAGATGATGAGATCGAGCACTTTGTGGATATTCCGGATGAGGATTCATCTGACAAAGCTCCTAAAGTTAACCCTGAAACAAATGACTCATCTGAAGACGCAAGTAAAAGCGATTCTGATGCTGAGGCAGGAGACGATGATATGGTCGACGGATTTACTCCAGCTTTAGAAGATGAAGGAGATAGTAGCTCTGATGAAGATGGTGGCACGAAAAGATCAGTCGTCAAGGGAACTACGATTGCAAGTAGGTCTCAATCGAAGAAATCTCTAGTGAGAAAGAACGTAAGCCAACCTTCAGCAAAGGTTTCTGAAGAAAGTACCTCTATAGAACCTGGGCAGAAGACCTGGCCTTTGAAAGGTTATTATGATTCAAAGCACCGAGACCCCTCTCACTGGTAGGGCATTTGAGAAGCCTGATGTTAATCCGTATTTTATGACCTGTGTAACCTGTCTTGTTGGCATTTGCTTTTGACAGCGCATGCATGCATTAGACTGGTAAATTGAGCATACAAGCATTGTTTATAAAATGTTTTAGAAGAGGACTAGCTCCAGGTTATGAAGTCTGTGTGTTAACTGTTCCTAAAAAAATGTTTTTCTTTTGAAACGTGCAGCAACGCTGATAAGGCATGCTGGTGGGAGCTTTCGGCACTTGCAATGCACATGCATCCATCAGTGGCCAGCATGGCTAGAACGCTGCTGTCAGGTGCTAATGTGGTGTATTCTGGCGATCCGTTGCGTGATCTTGTTCTTGGTGCTTTTCTGGATCGTTTTGCGGAGAAGAAGCCAAAAACTAAGAAACAGAAAGAAGGCGCTATTTTGCCAATGCCTGGAGCTGATAAGAAGGTACGTGAATAGTCCTATTTTGTATCGTAATACATTAAACATGCTTCTGTGATATTCGTGTGATACTTGGATAGTGGACTAACAGCATGTGATTTCTTGGATACTTGGATAGTGGACTAACAGCATGTGATTCCTTTGATAGGTTGCCAAGCGTCTGGTTGGAGAAGAGCTTTTGGCTCTGAACGAAAATGAAGTTGCTCCTGATGATGTTGTCTTCCATAAGTTTTACCAATTCAAGGTCAGCAACCGCAAGGTGAAAAAGGCAAAACACAAAATAGATGACGAGGAGGATGATATAACAGGACTGGATGATGTGGATGGAGGCGATGTAGATGATAGCGATGACGACGAGGTAGATGCCTTATTGGAGCGCGATGAAGGTCGTGAGATGGGATCAGCAGGAGAAGATTCCGGTGAAGATGACGGAGGTGAGAGCGAAGGGGAATTTGACTATGATAAAATGGAACACACTGTCGACATGGAAGATGATGAGGAGGATGAGGAGTTGGATGACGATTCCGACGATTCGGACGATTCACCAAAGAAGAATAAGAAGGGCATACCAGTGGAGGTTGCAGACAGTGATTCCGATGGCGATAGTGAGGACGATTTTGACTTGGGAGAATATCCAGATAGTGAACCTGAAGATGATAGTGACGGGAGCATAGAAGTGGGTGATCTACCATCTGATGATGAACCAGAGTCCAATAAGACGAAGTCGAAACCAATTCACGATAAAGCTACCAAGAAAGATAATGCTAGCAGAGATCAGCCGAAGAAGAAGAAGAAGAAGAAAAAACAAGATGTGGAGGTGCCTGTAGGGAAAAAGGGGAAATCGAAGTCGCCGTTTGCAAGTTTTCAGGATTATGAAGATATCATAGATCGTGACCAGGCAGTGGAGGCTCCAAAAGGGAAGAGTCGGAAAGGGAATAAGAAGTCCCGCAAGGTCTGATGTCACTGATGGATTCAGCGAAGTTTTGCAACTTGCCAAGGTACAAATTCAGTATTCAGAGCTACGTTTTTACTGCAATCTAAGATGAACTAATATCTTCATCATTTCAGTTGAAGATAACTATTTTACCATTGTTACCAAATAGATAATTCCTCTTTCTATTTTCTCGCAGTTACGTAAGAAGATTGAGTCCATCTTGGGTTTATTTTATTTTTTTTAATTTTAATTCACATGCAAGTGTTAGTATTAATACGTGCTCCCAAGAATTTTTCTCTGAAATCACCTCTTAAGGTTTTCTCGCGATCAAGATGTAAATCTTTCCGAGTGATCAACTACTGCCTATTTAAAATCTCCTACCGTTGGATTTTGTAGTGGACGGTAGAAGTTGTCTGTGCGTCGGCCATGGCATCGCACACTCAAATGATTGGTTCTAATCACCTAATAACACAAAAATAGCTTAAGAAAGCTACATCCGGCCTCCGCCCATCACTCGATTCTTGATATGTTATTGCAATTGAATCGTCCAGTAATGTAACGAGTCTCAAATAAACGACTTCTCCACCTAACACCAACTCCACCTGCAGGTTATCTACAGTTGACCCTTTCAAATGCAGCTCGCCGCCCCAAGTCAATATCAAAACGGCAGCTACTTCACTAGACTAGCCTTCACTAAGCGACAACTGAAACGCAAGAGTAATTCCCAAACCATTCAGACCGCTTTTCACAACCACGTCTAAGTTAAGAAAACGGAAGAAAAGAACAACCGCTCTCTGTCCCATACGGAGACTACCGTCCATTCTTTACAGCCGTGCAAAAGGCGAACTAAGCGGAGACCAGTAATGGTAAAAAAACAAAAAACAGACATAAAACAAACTACATGATGTGTATGGAGAACCATTTCCGTAATAGTCGAAAGGGGAGAAAACACTGAAATCCACAGGAAGGGACCCTACCATTCAAGTGGGTGCCAATAAGAAGCAAGCAAATCACAGCCAATGGCAACGCCGAAAGAGAACCACAACACCACAAAACCACAGACAATCTCCGAAATCACTGAGCCCAGCAAGAACGGTCACGACCATGGCATCTTCGAGCACACTTTGGAAATGCGAGGGGCTTTGCTAGTGGCCGATCGATGAAGGAGCGTGCAAGCGAGTGAGGGAGAGAGAGAGAGGCGGACTCACACAGATACTATTCCCATGTGAACGACGCAGCAGTCAGTAGCATTCCGCCGCCGTCGCCACAGGGCCCCCGATCCCTGGCGACTTTGCTCGGGTGTGGCACAGCAGCAGCGCAAGAGGGATTTGGCGCAGCGTCGAAGCTCTACCCTGGGCGTCTCTTGGAATCCGCCGAAAGACGACAGCAGCTCTCTGTTGGGAGAGTGGGTTCCGCCACCCGGGTGGAAGTGTCATGGCTTAGGTCAGTTCACGCTCCCGCTCTCTGTCTAATGCTTTCTCTCGTTTTCTTTCGGTTTCGGTTTCGGTTCTTCTAGTTTGTGGGTGGTTAAACCCTTGTTGGTGGGTGCGATCTAGGTGGCAGCATTACTCGCAATTGCTGTGTTGCTACTGCTGGTCCGGGTAGTGTCGGTTGATATGCCGTGGGAAGTGTTGGCAGAGTTTTATTAAGAGAGGAGTGGCATTTTAAATTTTTTCGTTTGTGGGTGGTTGTTGCGATCTCCTCGCTCCGGTGTATGTGGCGGCACTGGCTTTAGCGCGATTTCAGAGACGGTTTTTTAGCGACGAAAGCTCTGGCAGTGCAGTGCAGTGCGCATGGGATTCGTTGCTGAGGCGGAGAGCGAGAGGTTTACCTTTACGCTGAATCATGTGCGCAGGTTTTGAGTGGGACTTTTCGGGTTGAATTTCAGGACCATTGGAGACGTAGTGGGAGGTTTAAGAAAGCTGAGAATTTAGCGTGAATTCTCTTCGTGGGCTATTAGGTTCACATGGTTTTAGAAGGAATGGAGTGTTTGTAATGGATGCGAGATAGTTTTCTTTTTAATAGTCGTAGTTTCGGTAGTGGAAACGACGCCGAAAGTCCTCATGAAGCATTGAGAGAGAGAGAGAGAGAGAGAGAGAGAGAGAGGGAGGGAGGGAAAAACCTCTTCGTCGTGCTCATTCAATGCGTTTTCATGCACTGATTGTTAGCACGCAGGCGATAGAGAAGCTTGCTATAGTTTTTTTGAAGTCCCGGGATGCGACCATTGGCTGGGACCTTTGTAGGAAGGCAGCGCGGTGCAATCTACGTAGCATTGGTAAATGTGCATAATTAAGAGATGCGCTTCACGAAAGGGTTACAAGCTAACCTGGCCTTGCAGAAATTGCAGTTTAGAGGTGTTCAACTATCCAAAACGCAGATGGATCGCTTGGCAAGCTCACCAATGGCTCAATTTCTGTATGGGGGTGCTCGTCCCTGTTACACTCGCTGCAAGTCTACAGATGCGGTTGAGTCTCTCACCTCGCCAGCCTCAACGTCCTTGAAGCCCTTTGCCGCCCGCTATCATGCTTCCAGCACGAAGACTTCTTCGTCTGTGTTGAATGGCTTTGGCAGGGCTGTCATGGGTTGTGGCCAGGATTTTCAAAGCTTCATGCTTTGTGTCCGTCGTGGGTATTTGCAAGAACGAGCCCGTAGCATTGTTTGTGCTAGTGGAAGCGGCTTTCAAGGGGGAGGCAATGAAAGCAACGGCTCTGAAACCGAATCTTCTGATGCTTCTGTACACGGTAAAGGGTTTTCTTTTTTTTCTTTTTTCTTTTTTGTGTAGGCTTGCATTACAACCTGTTGCATCCTGTAGTCAGTCTCAGCCTAGAGTAAGTACTTTCGAGTCGTATTTTATAGGCGTTATAAGTGGCAGCTATGAATCGCACGCTTAGAAATCAATTTGCATCCGTGGCCACTATCCTGGACAAGTTTGTAGTTGTAGTGGTTTAACAAACTTAGCCTTCATTATCATTCAGTGTAGTTGTACGCAAGAGTTGAGTCTGTTTCATAACAAGCATAAAAAGTGTAACAACAGAGAATGTGTAATATCAGGTCGCGGCCCTCCCCATGGGGATGATTTGGATGCGTGGAATAATTGGCATGCTGTATTACCAGAGAATGATGGGCGGAATCATCCAGTGCCTGCTGTTGATTTGTTCCGAGTGATCGAAAGTTCTAAGGACAGCAAGTTTGACATTGACTATTTGGGGGAAAGCACGAAAGGTGACATGAACGTAAGGCCTGAAGCTTTTGAGTATGGCGATTCTAGCTTACAAGAAGTTGCTGCGTCATTGGATGGTTCTTTAGAGGAAATTGCAAAAGCAGAAGCTAAGGAAGCGGAGGCATTGCTTGATGCTTTAAAGATTCCGGTAAATTTTGCGGTCATTCCGGTTACAATGTAGAGCTCAAGAGCTTTAGTGGAGCCACGGACTGTCTGCAATATATCTCAGGATTCCATTGCACTATAATTTTAAGGTTTCACAGTAGAGTTGATTGAACTGATTTTATCGAGGTTCCCGGTCAATGTCTTTATGTCTTTCTGCGTTTGTAATTTGGGGTTGCAGAGACGCTTTCCTCATGGTGTTGCTTCTAGGGGTATATTCTGCAGTCGCACTTTAAGCTTACGGTCGATCACTACTATTGGTTACGACATGGACTATACTCTAATTCACTACAACGTTCATGTAAGTGACCCTTTGTGTGAGGATTCATCATTTATCGTAGCGGGATTTTCTGGAATCGTTGTTCGGCAGAAGTTGTTTGGTTAGATATGAAGCTATTTAATCCCATCATTTGCCTGATTATTCTACAGGCCTGGGAAGGGAGGGCTTACGAATACGGAATGAATAATCTTCGTTCTATGGGTTACCCAGTGGACGGCCTCAAATTTGACCCAGAGCTGGTATGTGTTGAAAAATAGATGATACTTATTTATTCCCATGCTAGATTTTGTCTTCACTTGGCAATCTCAACTCGCCTTGCACTAGGGATTTCACGTCATTATTTCTCTTCTTTGAAAGCAAGCTGTATCAAAATTAGGTTTTTATTCTATTCCAATCCTGAATATATCAGCAGTACTATCAATATCACGTGATTCACTTCAGCCAGTTTCAATAATGTGAATAAATTTCGTATATGTTCACTACATGATCGAGACTCTCTCTTCGCAGGTTATTCGAGGATTAGTACTTGATAAAAAGAGGGGGAATCTTGTGAAGGCTGACCGTTTTGGTTACATAAAGCGAGCAATGCACGGAACCAAGATGCTCTCAAATCGAGAAATCAGGTGTTTATCTTGTATTTGCTTAATATTCTCCACATAAGGGTTTTTTCAGTCACCTGGGCTGGAGACTTTCCCATACTTGACCCAATTATCTGTTGATTACGAAAATTCCTCAACTTGATTAGCAAGGCAAGAGAGTTTTTATTTATTTATTATTATTATTATTTTAAATAAGATGATGAAGCAGCAATTTTTTATTGCTAGTTTGTGTCTGGATGCTTCAGCACTTCTAACTTGGGCGAGATAAGTGAATTCATACATCTATTTATGTGTAAAGAATTTTTGTTATTTACATAAGAACGTTTTATTTTAACTTAGCATCGGATCCACATATGGTTACAGTGAGCTCTATGGTCGTGAACTCGTGGATTTGCGAGATGAGGGGCGCTGGGAGTTTCTGAATACTCTTTTCTCAATATCTGAATCAGTAATGTTTATGCAGGTGAATTATATACTAGACATTCCACCATTATGATTTTCTCGTCTGTGGGAATGGGAGCCCTAGTCACGAACTCTAACTCTTATAGTATGAATATTAAAGCTTAGCCAATCAGAACAGATATTAGGCTAGTAAGCTGAAGTACTAATGAAAATCTAATTTTCACTTGCACAATGCTATAAGGTTTCATGCTCTGGAGCTGGATATCTCACGGTTTTTCTGGTATTAATTGCAGATGGTGGAAAGGCTTGATGAGGGCTCTTTGCCTCCTGAGATTGGCCCATTGGATTACAAAGGCTTGTATGCGGTAACATAATGACTTTTGATGAAAAATTATTTCAGTTTGGTACCTTTGACTGTCATCTTTGCTCTCATAACTTCTTACCAAAAGAATCACTTCAGCGATCATCTCAATAGCATATGATTTGGTACAGCATGTCCGGATACCATGATTTTGCATGTATATCACTGCGGGCTTTATTCTAAATGCCGATTCTGAACAGTGAAGCCACTTTAACAGGTGGTGTCAAAGTCGCTTTTCAAGGCTCACGTCGAAGGTCAATTAAAGGTTCGTGTAAAACCTCAGGTGTTAGCTTTTAGTGTTGTCTATGTACATGACAAAAGGTGCTGTTATTGTGGATAAATTTGTCTAGCTTGTGACATTATCCTCGGCATTCAGTTATCCGGGTTGATGAGGTAAGAGGGGATTGTTCACTAGAGGATTTCACACTTTAAGGAGCTCGTCTATTGCATTGAGAGAGGTTAATCAATCTAGCTCTGTATGTCATTGCTGCAGGCAGAAATCATCAACAATCCAGAGTTATTTATTGAACTTGATCCTGAGCTCCCTTTGGCTCTGTTGGATCAAAAGGAGGTTTGAACACTCATCTGTTCTGAACTCATTTTTCTTTAGAATTGAGTGGATTTGCATCTGCTGAACATGTGGAGTCGAATCAATTCAGGTTTTCAAATGCAACCGTTCAAAAGTTGGCTTAACTTGTATCTAACATGTCTTGATTTTTCAGGCTGGCAAGAGGTTATTGCTCATTACAAATTCTGATTATCTTTACACGAACAAGATGATGCAATACGCTTTTGATAAATACCTCCCAGATGGCATGGGTTGGCGAGCTCTCTTTGATATGGTTCGTTTCTACCTAGAATGTGTTGTTGTGAGTTAGTCGAGCATCAATCATATCTGTTTCACCTATATCCTTAAACTCACAATTGATGCCAAGCAAGGTTTTGGTTGAGAAACAGTATGCTTTAGAAATACATTTGCACGACCAAACCTTCCAGCTTTTTCTTTTTTTAAATTACTTTTAGTCTTTCGTTGGATCTAGTATTTCCATTTACTAGCTTCCGTATTGTGTATGATCTTAGAGATACGTCCTGCATCAAGCAGATTCGTCGTTTTATACTAATTTTGCAAGTGTGCTCTAGGTTATTGTTTCTGCTAGGAAACCTGAGTTCTTTCAAAAATCCAATCCTCTATATGAAATTGTGACGGAAGAAGGCCTAATGCGCCCTTGCTACAAGGCCACATCAGGTAAGGACAATCAGCTGCAATGCTTAAGTTAGGTTTCAATACAGTTGAATCGAAGTTAGGGCGGGAATTGGGTCATATTTAAAAAAGCTCATTATCACTACATGGTAGATACAATTAAAAGGATTTGATGAACATGGCGGATCCTGTCGTTCACTTGGACTTGAGTGTTTGTTTAACTGTATTATGATATTTATATAATTGCCTACCCTGCCGTGCAATCTCATGCTTAACAGTACTAATTTCTGCACTTTTCAGGTGGGCTTTACTGTGGAGGTAGCGCCCTGATGGTGGAAAAAGCACTCGGCTTTCATGGCGATGAGACACTATATGTTGGTGATCATATTTACACAGATGTGAGCATGTCAAAAGTGCACTTGAGATGGAGGACAGCCCTTATCTGTCGCGAGTTAGAGAAAGAGGTATTTTAGTTTCGGCTTGTATTGTCATCTTAGAATGTAGCCACATTGACAATGATGTTCATGTTCCGCAATTCGGTGCGAGGGTTGGAGGTCAGAGAATGCACTGTCAAATTATTCATTGAGTTTTTTTTCTAATACGTAGGTATTCAGCACTTGTATGGTAACACCTTAAGATAAAGAGATTGTATAAAAGACGCTTTTCTTTCACGGTTAATTATCCTATGTATTCTCACTAGATTCTGATCTAACGTTTCATTGCATGCAGGTGATGGCTCTTGCGCATGGAAAGGACCATAGAGTTAAATTGATCGAGTTGATGAATCAAAAGGAAGCTGTTGGGGATGTATTCAATCAGCTTCGGCTTGCATTACAACGTCGCACTGCTGGGAGACCAGCACAGGTGTGTTCTTACATTTTCTGCCAATGTTGGTTGCTATTATTCTGCCTTATACTGCGTTGATACTCTTATTCTGGTGTTTTTTGTTCTGATTTTTAGTGTATTTTGTTTACAGACAGATAAAATAACAAATTTGGATGAGAGAGATCTCGCAGAGAACATGCAGAAGCTGCTCGTTCTAATGAGCAGGCTAGATCAGAGAATTGCTCCTATGTTGGATGCTGATGGAGAGTACTTCAATCAAAGGTATATTCTGGTCTAGATACACATGCGGTTCGTAAAATCATAGTCATCTCCAAACCTACACAAATTTCCAAAACGATGTAAAGTGCGTGATCATATCTTCAATCTAGATTGTGAAATATGTTCACACCATGTGTATCAGGGGCCAGGTATACTTCTGCCCTTAAGACATTGGTTATACATTCCCTTTGTCAACACTTCAAATGTGTGAAACTTCTTTATTATGGGTGGGATTAAGTCTCTAGGATACTGTTTTATAAAATTTGTTAAGTTGAAGTAAGACTGTGCAAGTATCGTTGCATTCATTACTTGTATGTTAGCAGGTGGGGTTACTTGTCTCGAGCAGGACTGTGGGATAAAAGTCACCTCACTCGGCAAATTGAAAAGTAAGTTTTACAAACAGCCGAAAATTTAGGAGGTTGGCATGCTTTTTCGATTTATCTTCACATCACTCGTTGTGTAGTAGTCTTATATCTAACATACTATATGTAGATGTTATCGAACAGTATTGCGTGAATGCCAGTGGTCATCGACATTATTTGGCTTCTTTTCTTGTGTGGTTACTATCCCAGACATGATTCAATTACAACTGTAGTTAAGTTTTTATGTTTGGTACAAAAGTTCTCAAGTTACAACTTGTGGATATTGATGTGGTCATAGAGCAATTGCTTCCGCCTTTGGAGCCACTTAAGTTGCATTCACATGTACTTGAGACAGTGTTATTGAAGATACTTACGTACATCTCCTGTGGTTAAGTGCCATGCTTTATTTAAGCCGTATCATGTACTAAATGGTAGGAGTTGTTCCTCAACAGGTATGCGGACATTTATACTTCACGCGTTTCCAATTTCTTGCGATATTCTCCATTTATGTACTTTCGGTCGCAGTCCCAGGTATGGATGGTTTTCTCCGCAATCTTGTAACTTTTAGGGTTTCTGTTGGGTAATCTCATACTTAACGCTGGACAAATCCACGCTCGCACGACATCGTTTTCAGGTATTTCTGGCAGCAAGAGCATCTATTTTTGTCTGTTCTAACATACATTTTCCGAAACACTAGCAGTGTCTTTGGAAGTTCGACAATATATGTGTGAGTGTGTGTAAATACATATACACAGTTGAGTCCTGAAAAGTGAGACAAGAAGATAAATGACCTTTTTCATGCTAAGCAGCGAATGTACTGCGTAAATCCGTTCTGCAAAAGACGCTGTTTAACCGCAGCATTTTTCCTGCATTTGTTTTGCAATACGATTTCGAGGTGAAAGATTGAACAGGGTTTAGATGGACTGCTGCTGCTATTTACCTGCAGTAGTAGTTGCAGGTGAACTGTAATTTTCCTTACGCTTACAAATGCTATGCCCGTCTGAGTTAAAAATAAGGTGGATTCTAAAATTGAAGTTCGATCCATCTGGTCTTAAACTTGTTTCTCATCCAAACAATCTGCATGTGGGCATTATTTCAGGTGTAGCTAACTTTTCAGTACGCCAATACCTCTGAAGCTGAGCCCAGTGTTTGTCGTGCTTGACAGACATTAGCACATGACGTCGAAGCTGAATCACCTGATGTCGAAAATGGTAAAGACGAGCTACCTACTATGAACAACGGAAGCAACTCGGGAAATTTTGAGGGACTGGTGGAGTCAACTGAATCAGTAACGCCCAGTAGGAGGTAGCGTTGATCAGCAACTCTGATCCTTCCAGTAGCTCTCGGTGACACAAAAGTTCTCGAAACATCCCAAGTATTTCCTGATGAGACGCGCATTGTAAAATATCGTGGAGGTAGAGCTGCGCTTCATGATCATGAGTTGTGGGTGCGTTCTCATGGAAGGCATGAATTTCCTTAGGTTTGATGTACCCACATTTTGTAGCTCATTCAGTATTTTATAATCTGGAGTAATTCTGGAGTCAGATGCGTCCTCTTTAGATACTAGCCTTAGTAAGCCAGACCTTGAACTTCTCACCTTGCGTTGATTATTGTTCTTTCAGTTTGTCGGTTATTAATTGCATGGTATAGCATTCATAACTTGAGAGAACATGAATGAGTGAATCCACACACCTTTAAACTGTACTCCTTAAGCTCATAGTTTTAATCTGTAGTAGCTCCTATTGATTCGGTATCTTGTTCCTATATATTTGTCAGTCATTGCAATGTGAAATTGGAAGTTTTTGACTTCATAATTTTCAAATTTCGAAAGTTTTAGACTTTGATAGACTTGGGACGTTTTGAGAATTACCCTGTCATGTCTTAGTTCTCCCGTGCTTTGAGGCTAAAACCCAGTTCCAGTAATTATTCTATTTGCATTGCTAAGCATCTTCACATCGATATTCAATTCAGGAACTGTTAAAAAATTTAGTGTAAAACCTTCATAAATATTAACTATTGGTTTGAAATCAATATGAAGGCAAAACTACACACTGTGGAGGTGTATTTCTAAAAGTATTGATAATGCTTCCACAGTTTTTGCTACTGCCACCAAAACCTTAAGAAAATTTCTGTCAAAATTTTAGTCAAAATTTGTTTTTGCTACTTCCACCACAACAAATATATATATATATATATATATATATATCAAAACAATTACCAAAACAAAACAAAAAAATATGTCAAGTGGGTGGGGAGTTACAGTGTCATTTAGTATGTTAAAAACACTACATGTGAATTCTCTAAAACAGAATTGTGGCAAACAGCATGTAAACTTGAAAGTATCTGGAGTGCCAAGTTCTAGGCAGACATTTTAACTCTGCATTTTCATCATCCTGTGCTAATGAATTTACAAAAACTGTGGATATGAAATCATAAATAAGATGTTGCAGTTTTTTGTTATGCTGAAAACAAATAAATAATTTCAAATTAACTATGATAAGAAAAAAGAACGAAAGAAGTTGAAAAAAATCGTCATCCATTATTTGTTTTCATAAATTTGAATGCAATTTTGTGATTTGCATAACTATAAACTGAGGAATTATTTTTTCTCAATTTCCAATCAATTTTTATTTGGCTTTTTATCATGTACAATTTACATATATACATGCACTTGAAGCTCTTTATTAAAAATCAATTATGATTAGGTTTTAGAATAGTATTATCATCCAAACCATATAGTAGGAATATTTTGTGAGTACTTAGTTAAAAAATGCACTTAAGAGAAATTATTATTATTATTATTATATATAATTTCATAAAAAAAAATGCTTCTTTTTCCATAAGATAATATTTAAGTATTTTCTCCATAAGAAGTTTGGATTAGAAACATTTCTAGGAACATTCTTTATAATTTTTTATATTATGTGATCCAAGATTTTGATTACAAATAATTAAAAATATTCTTAATCAAATCCAATATCTACAATTCTTATGAATCCAAGTGCAAAACTTAGAAAAACTAAAATACTCAATAATAGTCTTGAGGTTGTTGGCCTACATAACCTTATTAGTGTTATTATGTATAGGAGACTCAATTTGTCTAAAATTATATGATAATTCATAATTTTATTAAGTTTAGAAAAAATATATATGTCTTGTGGGGGGTTTTAGTAAAGTTACAAAAATAGAACTTATTTGACTTGATATTACAGGCCAAAAATAACTAATGGTTAATTTTTTAAAAACAAATTGCAACAAATATAAAAACATCATTAAATTAAAAAGATGTAGCATGTTTGAGTGAGATTATTATGTGTACGAAACAAAAATCTATCTTTATATTGATACAACTATAAGATTAAAAAACAACAACGTACTTCTTATTAAGGGATTTAAAAATAAAAATAAAAATAAATTGACTTCAGCTTTTACATGGAAATTTAACAGAGTATGATAAAGATATATTTGGAAAAGTTATTTACACTATTCATGAAAATAAATAAAAAGAAAAAAACAGTACCAAAATAGATGCTTTTATTCACTACTTGTACTTATTTGTTTAATACTAAATCCATGACTATAATGGTGCAATTTTCACAGTGTTTCATTTTAATTCCCCTAATCCAATGTTCAATTAAGGGTTTCCTTTTATAATGCAATTTTGGGTGTTGGTGTCATGATGTCATGATATCATAATTTGTCTCTCATAACAGATATGACACTTGCCACATCCCAACATGAATAATAGTGTCAATTTTTTAAAACTTGTTCTTTATAATCATTTATAATATATATATATATATATATATATACACATATATCACATCTTTGTGGTAAATATTAATGGAGGGTTTAATGGTGGATTGAGACATGAATTATTATTTGATGAACACTTTGATTTTAATCCTCACTATTGATGAAGATGCATGAATGTTATGAGAATGTCATAAATACAATTTCTTTTTCTTTTTTTGTATTCATATATATATATATATATATATATGTTTTTTTTTAATATGGCATCATTGAGGTAATCCTTTGATAGCATTTCAAAAACAGTGTCAACATTTGAAACAAAATAATTATGATTGAAAAAAGCAAAGCAAATTCTTGCACTTAAATTCACACATTTAGAAATCACAATCAGTCTTGGAAATGAAAATGGCATCAAAAGTATAAATAATGGAAAAGAAACAAAAAATATATTTTAATATTTTTGTAAAATAATTGTGAAAACATAAAAAAATATGTAAAATAAAATAAAAAAAAAATAATGAGCATCTATGAGTGTTTTGATTGAACAAAGTAATTACATTGTTATAATGCAACCATACATTATTGTAAAATTTAAAATATATTTTTATTTAAATACTTTTTAATATGTACATAGATTTTTTGATGTTTAAATTAATATCAACACTTTACTAAAATTTTATTAAAATTTTTAAAAATTTACAGATGTATGAATTGTTATGCATTTAAGTCAATATTGCCTTTGTAATGGATGTTGTTAGCTAGTTGGTAAAATCAATTGTTCTATAATGTGTACAAAATTCAATAACTAACCATTCAATGTAACAATTACATATTAAATTGTGATAAATAAAAATTCCTTTATTAGTGATTAATTCTTATATATTTTCAAATGACAAGAATAGTCAAATTCTTATCTCAATGCATTGGAATTCCAAAAATTATAGAAAATGTATCCAATGTATTGTCATGTGTCAAAAAATACTTTTGGCATTTGAATGACATTCTAAGTCCTAATATGTATCTCATTGAAGGTACAATAGACTAAGTTTGGAAATTTTAAAAGGCTAAATATTTTGTGACTAAATCTTTTGAAGGAATGTATATGTGTATGTATTAGAGACATGAATTTTAAAGAAAGAAAATCCTCAATACACTCTTATGTCACTGAAAAGAACTAAAAAATCACTAAAAGAGGATATAATATTGAATTAGAATGGCTATTGCCAAAAACAAGAAGACTAGAAAGTCTCAAAATAAGACTAAAGACTAGAAAGGCATTGACAAGAATAGAGAAGGCTTCAGTCTTGCCTCCATATATACTCTTAACTATGACCTATGTGGCAATCTCCTATAAGACCTCTAAAACATGTTGACTTTGCAAGATATGTATCTTAACTTGCAAGACAAGTTTTTTATATGTACGCCAAATAGTTAGCTTGTTTTGCAAGCTATCAATACATGGTTAACTTATTAACTAAGTTTCTAACCTATCAATCAACTATAAATACATATAAAGTCAAAGTAGTGTATATAAAGCTTTTAGGAAGCTTTTTTTTAAAAGATACTATAAAAATTAACTTACTTTTATTTACTTTTATCTACTTCTACCTAATCATATAGATATTTATTAGAATAACTATGTATATCTGTGACATTATCCTTCTTTCTAGAGATGAGTTCTACAAGAAGTGGTCTTCATATGTTAAGAAAATCCAAGATATGGCAAATTGTATTTGCCGCATACTCTAATCTTTATTCTCTTTGAAGATGGTTGATAGGTCCTCTCAATTATTAATAGTATCCCATACTAAGTCGAGAAGACCACCATGTTATATAATTGTTGATGAGGCCTTTAAATAAAGTATTTAGAACATCGTCAAAAGTTGTTCTTACATCTAATAAAATCACCAAACATTAAGAGTCTCTTCCAAGGTCATGATACCAAACACATTTTATCTCGCCATCTCTTCGAGGATAGACATGTCATTCTTAAAGATCTTCATCTCAATTTCGTCATCTTAAAGGTTGTGACAATCACAATGTCTTGTTTGATAAGTCTGCAAATGAATGCTCTTCAGTTGAATTTGCTAGTTGTTGGTCCTCCATCTTTTTAGTGTCACAAATATACAAAAGCTACAAAAAAAAAAAATAGAAGGTAGAGTGTTATCTTCCTTTTGATCTTGTTTCTTTTTTAGCAAAGATTTGCTATTTTTCATCTTAGTTTTGATGGATGTCATTAATGAAAAGTTTCAACTCTCTTTGTTGTATTTGTAAGATTCTTTGTTGGCTTATATGTGCGTTTGCTAATATCATATCCACGCTAATGAATAAGATATTTTAACTTATTTTGGCGTTGCCTTCAACATAAGACTTCTTCTACCTTGAACTCTTGATTATTATCCACTTCTATATGAGGAGGTGGCATTTGTCTTCTTTTCAAGATATTCACTCTCTTATATGGCTCAAAAAGAGACACGTGAAATATAGGGTAGATCTTCATAGATTCCAATAGATATAATCAATAAGTAATATCATTGACTTATTCACTAATAGGAAAAGGCCTAAGCCTATAATAGTCGATCTTATTACAAGAACAAGTAGTCTTGATATTGTGACAAAGTAACTATACTTTGTCTCCCATGTTGAATTATAGTTGTTCCTTACAATATGCATCTGCATTAATTTTTTGTGGTTCTTGAGCTTCATTTAATTTTACCTTCATTGTTGTATAAAGCTTTGGCAAACAATTTGCCAAATCTTTTAGCACAGATTATCAACTTTTGAAAAGTCAAAAGCATCAAATCATAGATGATAAGTATAATTGGTAAAAAAAAGTATTTTTTGAGTGGAAGAATGTACCAAATTATTATATGTAAACTTTGCCAATCATAAAAGAGTTGTCAAATTATCTTGATGATAGTTGATAGTACACTTCAAATACTAATCCAAAATTTGATTCACTTGTTGTATTTGTCCATCAGTTTTAGGATGAAAAGCCAAAGAGAGCT